AACTACCTTGTTGTGAGGGCAGGGGCAGCAGGGGGGGAGCAATTCAAGGCATTACACCAGCTACAGAGGCAAAAAAGGGCAGGAAAATGGTCCTGGCAGGTCACATGGCAACAGACAAGCATCACTCCTCTAGCACCTTGGAGCAGATGTGGAGAGAAGAGGCTGGCCCACACAGGGATTTAGGATTCACATGCTGTCGGAGCCCCCTTTCAGTTTCTAAGAGCCGTAAGAAATAAGAGGAGGCCACCTGGCCCATTTAGCCTGTCTGATTTTGCAGCAGCTCATTGATCCCAGAAGCTCACCCGGCTGCTTCTTGAAGGAGGCCAGGGTCTGGGCTTCGACAACACGGCCGGGCAGCTCGTTCCAGACACTCACAGCACGAACCAAGACATCTGGCTACCAGGTACAGAAGGCAGCAGACATCAGCTCCGTTCCGAGATCATTTTCACATTTTAAAAAACAATTGCGCAGCAGAGGGCGAACGAGACTTCCTCACCACGACACGAGCGTGTGAGTCGCTGTGCCACCTCGATACAGCTGGGGGATTGGAGACTTTTTTTTTGGGGGGGGGAGGGGGGTCGCCAGTGGAAATCACGATCCGGCTGATCAGACGTGAAAGGAGATCGTGGGACGAGGGGGCAGGTGATCATCTGTGCAGAGCAAGAGAGAGAAAAGGCGGCGAGGAGGAGGAGGAGGAGGAGGAAGGGGAGCGAGGGCACATTGGCAGCAGCCCTTCCTTGGCAAAGTTGTGGCACAAATGGAATCTCCCGCCTTCTGCGGCGTGGTTGGCGTAGCAACAGGGGCTCTGGGAAAGTCCACAGGAAGAGTGCAAGGGCAACGCCAGCGTTCTGTCCCGCCCGAGAGCTGAAGACACTTGTGGAAAGCATCTCCTTTCCTCCCCCTGTACCCCTGGCCCGCTTCAGGAGCTCTGGGCTTGGGAAAACAGGGAGGAGTACAGAATGGGCACACCGAGAGCACCAAGGAGAAACTGGGAAAAGAAAACCACGCCGTCCCAAGTTTGAGCACCTTTCCATGGGTACGGCGCATGTGCGCTCTGGTTGTGTCGCTGCCGTTACCCGATCAAGAGGCAGCAGATTGTCACAGCGGGGGGAAAATAATTTGTCCCAACTGTTGGAACAAATCAACATAAAAATAGGTTTAATGGGAAAAGACAGGCGCTAGTTTCAGCTGGGGCACCACTGCACGGTGCCGCAGTGGTGAGCGTTCCTGCCTCCCTGGGGGCCCTGGGTTCGATTCCTGGGGCGCAGTCTGTGTGGAGTTTGCATGTTCTCCCCTAGTTCGTGTGGGTTTCCTGCGGGTACTCTGGTTTCCTCCCAAAGACCAAAGTCATTTTTACCCAAATTTATATCCCTCACAGTAATGGTACTACACCATTAGAAAATGGGTGGATAGATATTATCATGCCGAGAAGTTCACATTTTCTATAAGACCTTGTTGGGAGATTCAGTGCTTTTCATTTTTAGAACCGTTTTTCAGACAGCAGCCACTGTGCCGCGCCGCGCAGTAAAATACAGTCTTTGTGAGGCTAATTCCCCCCACCACCACAACTTCCAGTGGTGCACCAGTCCTGCTGTGGGAAAAATTAACAAATACAGCCTCTTGGAGGAACAACAACAACAAAAAAATAAAGATTCCCCTCTGCTGCTGCAGTCTGTCCTTGTCATTCAAAAGCGAACTGACTCATGAGTCCGTGGAGTGGCAGCCCCGCTATCTGGTGATGCAGCTTCATTCGAACCCCAGCACTGCCCCAGGGCTTGAATTACAGGACAGGAGCAGGGAGCGAACTGGCCAAAAGCAACCGCAACGTCTGCTTAAATTACTCTTTCTAATAGAAATATTGCAGAAATTACGGCAGTCAGCAAAAAGGCCATTAGAGACACAGGAACTGCAGGAGGAAGACTTGCGCTGTGTAAATAACTGAGCCCTGGGCTTGTATCTCACTGAGACTGGCCCGTTAGCAGCTGTTGGCATTTTCCAGCTGTCCACTG